ACAGGCCGGGGTGTAGCCCACAGTGCAGTCCCAGAGACAGGGAGCCTGTGTTTGTTTTGCTATTTATAATCTGGGACTAAAATTTCCAGCACTCGGGACCCCCCTCCAAAAAAACATTGCAGCCCCTTCCACACTGCAGACCTGCCACCCACCCTCGAGACACCTTCCAGCTCAGGGGTTCGAGCGAACGGAGATGCTCGGGGCGCGGGGTGAGAGCTCTCCGTCACATTTTCTATGCTCACTTCCATCACCGGAGGCCACGGGCAAAAATAAAGAGCCTTAAAAGCTCTTGTGATCCTGAACGGTGCAAGGGGAAGTTAATTTTCCTTATGCAAGCGAAGCTACAGGAAGGGAGGGAGACGGACAGCAAAAATCCTGGGGATCTCCTGCCTTGCCGCCCAGATCCCCTCCTCGGGCTGCAGTAACAGTGGTGCCGGGGTGACAGGCAGCCGCGACAGGCAGCGCAGGGTCCAGCCACGTTGGACGTTGCACCCGTGGGATTAACGGCCCCTGACGCCGAGACCTTTGAGACGAGACCACAGGCTCAGCCTCCCGAAACCTTCGCGGGACCGTTGCGGGGCCCCCCGCTTTGCGCAGCTTTGTAAACTTCTGCTAACAGGAGCGCTGCTTTCCTCGAGACACAGCTCCTGCCCTGGCTCCCGGCGCAGCGCTCGCCACCCAAACCGCAAAGAGGACGGAAAGTTATTTCACATCCTCCTGTGCCAAAACAACATGTCCCTCCCGGCGCACCCGAAAGGCCGCGGATCAGCTCGCTCGCTCTGAAGTCTGCACACGATGCTGGTTCGAATTAGGCCCGAAGAATTCAGATCCAGCTCCTCCGACACCACCCATTCTCCAGGCAGCGCTAATAAAAGCAAAATAAACGCCGAAGGGGAAACACTCAGACGCTAACTCCGGGGTTAGTCACTTTTCCTCTGTGCTCACGCTCCCATTTTAGGGCAAGCAGGAGTCTCCACGGGTTGCAGATGCAAACGAGCCGTGTTCCTTCACGGGAAAAGTTTTTCTAACCCCTTTTCACGTTAATCCCGCTCTCCGGGAGCGAGGCTGCGCCATCTGCCAAGCCCCGGCGCTCTCTCCGCCGCCTCCCCGGCCATGCCCTGGGTAGGAGGGCGAGGGAGGCTCCTCTCCAAGCCTGCAGCTTCAGGCAGCGAGCCAGCCGAATTCCTGGGATCCAGGGAGCCAGCGAGCAGCGGGGACGCTCCCAGAGACACGCAGCAGCCCAGCGGGTCTGCGCGGAGCGAAGCTCAAAAAACTTCTTCCCTAAAAGAATTTCATCCACATTCCTGCATTTCTCTGCTTGGCAAAGGCTAGAAAACATTATTATTGTTTTAAACCCTTCTGGGGGAAGGAGGAATAACAGCAAATTCCCACACACACAGGGATTTATGCTGGAGGCAACACAGGGCTGGGGTTCGGTCCCCCAAACTGGGGGACCCTCCTGCAGCAGCACCGCAATAAACCAGGTCACACCGACGGTCCCACCGAGCCGGCGGGGGCTGCAAAGCCACCGCAGCCATCGGAAGGACAAACCACCGCAGGCATCTGTGCAACGGTTTCCCAGGAGCAACAGACCCCGGGAGGACCCTCCCGGGATGCGGAGGGACCTTGCGGCACCCTGTCCCCCAGGACCCCCTGCCCAGGGGGAGGAAGGATCCTGTGATGCTTTGTCCCGCATGACTCCCTTCCTGAGGGGCGGAGGGACCCCGAGACCCCCCCATCCTCCACAACACCCTTCCTGGAACACCCGTGACGTCCTATCCCCCGTGATGCCCTTCCCGGAGCATCCACAGGCCCTGCCATACCCTGTATCCTGCAATGCCCTTCCTGAGTCATACACGGACCCCATGCCACCCCATCCTCTGTGACACCCTTCCCAGGGCACCCATGGACCCCGTGATGCCCCATTCCCTGTGACACCCTTCTTGGGGTGTGCACAGCCCCTGTGATGGCAGATCACCCCCTGCAAAGCCCATCCTGGGGCACATCTGGACCCCATGACACCCTCCTCCCTGTGACACCCTCCTTAAGGTGTTCACGGACCCTGCGACGCCCTACCTCCCGCAACACCCTTCCTGGGGCATCCAGGGACCCCACCATGCCCTACCTCCTCCTCTGCCCTTCCTGGGGCACGCACAGTCCCCATGATTCCCTGTCCCCAGCAACACTCTTCCTGGGACATGCAGGGACCCTGTGACACCCTACATGCTGCAAAGCCCTTCCCTGGGTCATGCACGGACCTCACCACACCCTACCTCTTGCAACGCCCTTTCCTGGGGCACACGTGGACCCCACGACACCCCATCCACTGCGATGCCCATCCTGGGGTACACAAGGACGCCGTGACGCCCATTCCAGGGCTCATACGGACCCATGACGCCCACCCTGGGGCACACAGGCACGCGTGACGCCCATCCTGGGGTACTCAGGGACCCCGCGACGCCCATCCTGGGGTACTCAGGGACCCGTGACACCCATCCCAGAGCACCCAGGGACCCCATAACGCCCATCCTGGGGCACACAAGGACCTGTCACACCCATCCTGGCGCTCACACAGCCCAGTGACGCCCATCCCGGGGCTCACACGGACCCGTGACGCTCATCCCAGCGGCCTCCCCACTCTGTCCCCACGGGCGTCGGGCGATGCTCGGCGGGACCCACTCACCGCTCGTCGGGCGCTCGGCCCTGCTGCAGGGCGGGCTCCAGGGGCACCAGGGCCTGGCCCAAGAAGCGGTCCATGCCCACCAAGGCCCGGTGCATGACGGTGAGCACCAGGCCGCCGCGGGCCGGGCCCGCCGGGGCGCCCAGCTCGGGGGGCAGCTCGAAGGCGCACTCCTCGCGCCATTCGGGGTTGCCGGTGCTCTTCTCGGCCACCGAGGTGCTGTACTTCTCCCGGCCCAGCTGGATGATGGTGTAGGCGTCGCTGGTGCCCGGTTTGCCGCCGCCCTTGCACCGCAGCCCGCGGGCCCGCACCACCGTCACCTGGACGTGGGTGGGCAACCAGGCCGGAGACCCCTCGGCGGGAAGCGCCGCCGCCCGCAGCAGCGCCATGGCGGGACGCTGAGGAGGCGCCGGGCCGGGCTGGGCCGGACGGAACCGGACGGAACCGGACGGAACCGGGCCGGGCCGGG